TATTTGAAGCTTTCAAGATTTGGAAAGCTATGGTTGAAAATGAGACTGGCTTGAAGATCAAGAAGCTCAGATCCGACAATGGTGGTGAATACGTAACCACCAGATTCAAGAAGTTTTGCTATGAGCACGGAATCAGAATGGAGAGAACCGTGCCTGGTACGCCTCAACACAATGGTGTAGCTGAGCGTATGAATCGAACGTTGACTGAAAGAGCCAGAAGCATGCGTGTGCAGTCAGGCCTACCAAAGCAGTTCTGGGCAGAAGCAGTCAACCCAGCAACTTACTTGATCAACCGAAGTCCATCGGTACCATTGGATCACAAGTTACCAGAAGAGGTATGGAGCGGAAAAGAAGTAAAACTCTCACATCTTAGAGTTCTCGGTTGTGTAGCATATGTGCACATCAGTGATCATGGTAGAAACAAACTTGATCCAAAATCAAAGAATTGTACTTTTCTTGGTTATGGTGAAGATGAGTTTGGCTACCGTTTATAGGATGATGAAACCAAAAAGATGATCCGCAGCAGAGATGTCATCTTTAATGAAAGAGTGATGTACAAAGACCGGCATAACACAAGTGCCAGCAACTCAGAAGCGAGTGGGCCAGTTTATGCCGGGGTGGAAGATATCCCTGACATTCATGTAATAAGGAATCCTCGGTCAGAGGAATCAAATGAAGAAAGCGGTGAGAAATCAGAACCTTCTACTCCAACTCCTGTATTGAGAAGGTCCTCTCGGCCCCATGTACCTAACAGGAGATACATGGACTACATGTTGTTGACCGATGGAGGAGAACCTGAAGATTATAAGGAGGCTTGTCAAACCCCATATGCTAGCAAGTGGGAGCTTGCCATGAAGGAAGAGATGAAGTCCTTGATCTCAAATCAGACATGGGAACTAGTCAAGTTACCCATGGGAAAGAAAGCACTTCACAACAAATGGGTGTATCGGGTGAAGGAAGACCATGATGGTTCCAGGAGATACAAAGCCCGACTGGTTGTCAAAGGATTTCAGCAGAAAGAAGGAGTTGACTATACTAAAATCTTTGCTCCAGTTGTAAAGCTCAATACTATCAGGACTGTGTTAAGTATTGTGGCTAGTGAAGAGCTCTACCTAGAGCAATTAGACGTGAAGACTGCATTTCTTCACGGAGACCTAGATGAGGAGATCTATATGCACCAGCCTGAAGGTTTTTCAGACGGAAAGAAGGATATGGTGTGCAAATTGAAGAAGAGCTTGTACGGATTGAAACAAGCTGCAAGACAGTGGTATAGGAAGTTTGAGAGCTTCATGCACAAGGAAGGTTTCTAGAAGTGCAATGCTGATCACTGTTGTTTCTTCAAGAAATATGAGTCCAACTATATCATATTGCTACTTTATGTCGATGACATGTTAGTAGCAGGATCAAATATGAAAGACATCAGAAATTTGAAGATGCAGTTGTCAAAAGAATTTGACATGAAGGACTTAGGCCCAACGAAGAAGATTCTTGGAATGCAAATCACGAGAGATAAGCAAAAGGGAGTTTTGCAGTTATCTCAGACAGAGTACATCAACCTTGTTTTGCAGAGATTTAACATGGACAAGGCTAAGCCAGTCAGTACACCTTTGGCCAGTCATTTTCGTCTATCCAAGGATCAGTCTCCTCAAACAAAAGAAGAAGAAGAGTTCATGGCTAAGATTCCTTATGCTTCAGCCATTGGAAGTTTGATGTACGCGATGGTCTGTACGAGGCCAGACATTGGCCATGCAGTGGGAGTTGTGAGCAGGTTTATGTCAAAACCAGAAAAAGCTCATTGGGAAGCAGTCAAATGGATCTTGAGATATCTACGAGGTACAACAGAAAAGTGTCTGTATTTTAGAAAAGGAGATCTAAAGTTACAGGGCTACATAGATGCAGACTTTGGAGGTGAAGTTGATCACCGAAGAAGCACCACCGGTTATGTTTTCACTGTCGGAGCTACAGCTGTTAGTTGGATGTCGCGGATACAAAAGATTGTTGCTCTATCCACTACAGAGGCTGAGTATGTAGCAGTGACAGAAGTCAGTAAAGAGTTGATATGGCTTCAAGGATTGTTAGCAGAGTTGGGTTTCACTCAAAAGGAGAGTGTCTTGCACAGCGACAATCAGAGTGCAATACATCTGGCAAAGAACTCAGTGTTTCACTCCAGAACTAAGCACATTGACATACGATATCATTTCATCAGATCTCTTCTTGAGGATGAAGTGTTGACTTTGAAGAAGATTGTAGAAAGCAAAAACCCGACAGATATGCTAACGAAGGTGGTGACCATTGACAAACTGAAGTTGTGTTCAACTTCAGTTGGCTTGCTAGATTAACATACCGGAAAAGACTACTGCAGAAATTGAGGTGTGAGGACAGATTGAAATCAGTCCTCAAGTGGGAGATTGTTAAGTCAAATATTGGGAGCTGTGCTCATTTATTTTGACAGTACAAAAAGGAAGAAAAAAGAAGCAGCCTTTTGTAGACCTTTTTTGGACAGCAGCCATGGTTTGAAAAATGCAGCACAATTATGTGAAAAAAAAAATGCAGAGATAAGCACACCTTGGTGGACAATTTGATGCATATTTCTCCTATAAATAGAGGAGTGAATTCTGAAGAACAAAACCACAACAAAAATACAGCAACATTTCAAGAGAAAAGAAAGAGAGAGAGAGCTAAAAATAATTAGCTTTTGTGTGTATTTTTGAGTTGTGAGTTGTGAGTGGTTTCGAGAGTATTTTGTAAACACGAGTGTATTTCTTTTTCCCAATAAAATATCTGCAGTAGTCCGGAGACGTAGGCATTATTGGCCGAACTCCGTTATCAATTTGGTGTGTCCAATTTTTCGTTTTTATTTCACTTTTATAGATCCGACTTCATGAAAATTTCAGCGTATTTTTCCCAACAGTGAGAATCGCTATTTTTAGTTGTACCTAGTGCTATGATTAATTGTGTTTTAATGCTATTTTTTATAGATTTATTTTATTAAAATAACAACCCAATTTATATTAGCATATGTGAAAATAATAGTACAATGTCGGTTAAAAATAGCATCATACAAAATTATAAATAACATCAAATATAATTCTCACGGTTCTTACACTAGCATTAATTTTTATATTACCAGTAAAGATAATAATAATTTTGCCGGCCGCCCCGACTCAGTGAAAAATTAATCCACCATTGGAGATGATTTTTAGATTAAATAAAAATAAAAATATATAATATTTTAATAAAAAATTTGACAAAATTGTTTAAATTGTGACATGTAAGCTAAAATTGAAAATTAGGTCATTGAATTTTGCTCTGTCCTCAAAATTCTTTACGGCTTCTCTCATGCTCTTTGTCGATGTCACACCGCCATACTCACGAAGGTAAATCAGCCATGTTGTGTTGGCTTCACGACGACAGGTGAGAATAATTCTAGCTACAAAATGAAATTCGAGTTTCAAATTTCTGAATATATTTTCTGAAGTTTTGTTGTAAAAAAGATTGATTCTTGGTGTCGGGTCGTCTTCGGATTGTGTTACAATTGATAATGGTGATGGAAATTGATGGTGAAATTCGGACATACCTGATTGACTTCTGATTTTTTATTTATTTATTTTATTTTTTTTTTCATTGTCCTGTTTGTTTGTTCATCCTTCAATTTGAATATGGTTATGCTTCTTTGTTTACATGACATGTCAGGATATTGGTTTGATTTTTTATCTGGAATTTGAGTGCTTAAACTCGGAAATTTGGGCATAGAGTCGAATTATTGTCGGAAGTTGGGTAGATGAGTTTTTGATAGTTAAGGTTTTTGACTGGGAAAGATCTGCATTTGTGGTGGATGATTAAAAGTTTCTGATGAATTCTGAGTTGCATGAGTGATGGAAACGATATGCCGCTGCACTTTCATTTTCATTCGTATAAAATCGAGATGGCTACGATTTCCTGTTCTTGGGCTGAGAGTAAAAATAGTGCATTGTGGTGGAATTGTTGTTGTCTGTGTTAAATTGTTTGGTTACATTATCTTTATTCTTTGAGGGAAGATTATACCTGTGAACGAAGAGTGTTTATGAACAATGATTGAGATAACCGATCATAAATTTTCGAACTTTCATTTCTTCTGGTGTATACTTGTATTTTGACGTAAAATCTAATACTTGCCAAGTGACTTTGTAAGAATGGGAACCTAAAATGTCAACTCTGTTTCCAGTTATTACAGTGGAGAATAGTAGCACTACTGCACTAGCAGGTGCCTCGGAAAGAGCTGAATCATAACCCGATTTGAGCTGAAGAATAGAAGTGAGGTCAAAGCAGAAGTTTGGCAATTTGGTGATAGGATTCTTGCATCCATTTTTCATTTAATCTGAACATTTCGAGCATCGGAACTTTATTTTTCCTCCTCAAAAGGTTTGTTTCAGCTACTCTTTACTTTCCGAATTCTAGTTTGTTGTGGCTTTCTTTTCTAAAGATTTATCGTCTTAAGGATTGGAGTTTCATGCTAATTTATTTTTATTTGGGAGTTATATATCCTTTTCTTGTATGTTTAGTGCTGTTGTATTATGCCTGTTTAGTGACACAAACTGGAAGGTCCTACATCATGTGCTGAAGCTCACTTTAGTTTCATATTGGGATTTAAACGACAAGTTAAATAAGTTTAACCTTTGCCCTTGGATGTTTTATTATTTTAAATCCCAGAAAATGTGCATAATTATCTATCTCTTTGACACAAGAGCGGGAGAAGTTTTTTTTTTACGATTGAGCATTAACCTGTAATTTTGGCCCTTCGTTAGTTCTTTCCTTGGCGATCGGACCATAAAACTACAATTTGACATGTTAGGGTCATGCGTAACTGGGTTCTTGGGTAGTCGTATGTATGATAAATGCTTGATATTATTAATACCAAAATAATTAAGAGATGCAAACTTAGAGATTAACTCTAAAAATATATTATTTGATAAAAGAAAGCGTATGAGATTAATTCCATAAGTCCCTCATGATGCATCAGTCTACCACTTTCCACCCCTTGGTGCCACATCAGCAGATGGAATTGTGACATTCTGTAAAAGCTGCATCAGCTCATCATTATTTTTCACAGCCTGTGTCAAGTGTCCAGGATGGATCCTTTTTTTATTTTCTTTTACCGACTCATCCCCAGCCACCTTCAAAACCTGGATCAGGGAAAAGAAAAAAAAAATCTGAAAATTATAAAATTATTTAAATGAGATTAAGGTAAATTTTTTTGTCGATGTGATGCGGAAGGTGACCTCGGAAGCAAGGCATTCGAGAACAGCTGTTAGGTGAACGGCAGCAGCAGTGTAGATTCGATTGGCGTGCATTCCTTTCTTGAGATCTTTGTTGACTTTATCAACTGGGATGTAAGGCCGGCCTTTGCTATGCGAGAGTTGGATTTAGCGGCTTTAGAATTCCCTTTTCTGCTTGAGGATTCACCGGTGGAGCTCATTTTTTTATTTATTTATTAATTTCTTTCCTAATAAAAACCTAGAAATATGAAGGAATTGAAGTTGGTGAGAATATTTATGCTGAGTAAAGAAATAATAGATTGGAAAATTATGTAGAAAAAATTTGTGGCTAGATATGGGGGGTGGGGGTTGGGGGGGGTGTTGTTGTGATCCTGCATGGATTGCTGACATGGCGGTAAAGAAATAATTTGAATTTTGTATTTCGTGAACGGTTTTCGCACATGCCAAATTTTGGTGAAAATGTTTGGCGGGTTGTACTAGGAATCGTAGTTAAATTTGGGAAACATTTTGGCGGGCTATGATTTTGGGGAAAACATATTTTAGCTTTTTACTATTTTTGCGTACAATCAATCTCATTCATGTGGCAGTGAGGCTGTCGCATTTATTCTCCGTTGCAAGTATTAGCACGTGTTGGCAGCGGGAGATGTAATCCAAACTGGATCCCCTTTTCTTCTTTGTAATTATTCTTTAACTGTTTTTCCATCATAGAATGTAAATTATTGGCTCTACCGATTAGTGTGCTGTGATGGTGGAAAAAGCGTGCGAGAAAATTTTGGAGCTAAGATACTTTTACAGTCTTTTGAACTATAAAACGTGTTGCAAGCAATTGTGTTAGGTGGCTTGCTTTCTCTCTGTATATTCCTCGTGGAGAGTGGTTAAGTGATTGAATTTCTTTTTCAGTTAGCAAGCCATCATTCATTTGAAGTGAAAACCTTAGATTTTCCTTTTGGATCTTAGTTGATGATCATGATACCATTTTATCTTTTTTCTTAATTTCATTTTCATATGATTTTTAACTAATTATGCATGTAAGTTTGGGTATTTTGGCATGCTCCATATGTTTATGATGTGTAGTTCTTTTCACCATAAGCTACTCGCAAAATTACGATTTTTCCATATATTCTTAACCAGTTTATGGCGTAACATGTCTGGCTTTGGCTTTTTACTAAACCCTTCCCCTTTCTTTGATGATGAAGGTTATTGCAACAGCTCCATACGTTTATCATAGAATCGTCACAAAGTGGTCGAGTGGTATCTCTCCTTTTCAGTTTTACTGAAAAAAAAAAAAGAAAAAATGTTACAAATCATGGATGTGGAGCCCACACTGCAGCCTCTCAAGAACATTGTGCCGGCCGCCCAGAACAACATAAACGTCAAATTCATACTTCTTGACAAAGGGAGAGTAACATTAGAAGGTCAACACAAAACGTGCCTTGCACTGGCGGCTGACGAGACAGCAGCTGTGCACTTCCAGCTGTGGGGGCCCGAATGTGATGCCTTTGAGCCCGGAGATATAATTCACTTGATCAATGGTATTTTTTCTTACAATAGGAACAACCTTGTGCTTCGGGCCGGGAAAAGAGGTAAGGCCGAAAAAGTGGGGGAATTCACCATGACTTTTGTGGAGACACCTAATTTGAGCGAGATAAGGTGGGGTCCCGATCCCAGTGACTCGAAGAAGTATGTGCAGCTGGGTGTGATCTCGCCTTATTCAAGAATTTTTGTTCCTCATTGAAGGTGTTTTTCTAATTTTCATTGCTATGCAAATTTTTCACATAAAAATTGTTAGTAGTAGGATTACTCTAGTGTTATCTTGACAAATTTCGGAGAAAATCTAACATGCACCTAATAATTTGCAGGTGGCTTCGGGTACAATATACCCCAGCTTGTCGGAATGAGAGTTTCTCTTAAGAGTCGACTAAAAGGCTAAAACAAAGCAGATTGTTTCCCTTTTCTCGGAGCCCCTACTCTGAATACTGATATCACAGTTTGTGAGATTGAATGTAGCGTGTAGTTCATTTTCTTATGAGTGAATAGATTGTGTGTGTATGCAGATGGAGCTATGATGACATTTGAAGATAATTGACCATATAACTTGAATCCAAAAGTTCGTCTAGAGATATACTTTTGTTGATACTAGTAAGTTAATCTTTCTGCTTATCATCTGTATTTTACTCGAACACAATTATTTGAGTCTTACTACATGAAAAAAAAATAAAAAAAAACTAAGCATAATTCATTCAAGAAGCATAAAAGGAAACTGATTCACCACCAAAACATAGTCTTTTTTTGAGTACAAGATGGTTTTATTGTTATTCGTCAACATAAAGAGTGAGTCGATGCAATAAATACAGGGAGAGATCTCAATCTCTTCCCTTTCATCTCCTTCTCTCTCTCTTTCTTAACAGGAAAAAAAAAAAAAAACATTTAGTGCACACAGATAACAGTTAACCAGTGTTCTGAAGTCCAGCAGCAATACCCTTCATTGTCAGTATAAGTGTGTCCTCCAATCCAGGTGCATACTCACTTGTCGGGTTCAACATCACGAGTTCTGCAGCTTGTTTTGATTCCATGTACTCCCTCGAAATATGAGGCCTCAGCTTCACATGGTAATTCGGGTCACGAATTCGCTTCAGAGTGTACGCTTGGCACGCATTTAGAGTCGTGATGTATGAATCACGCAGCTTGAGCCTTTGCTTCAGGTACGGGTCTCCTTCCAGAAGATCCCTGTGTCCAGCAATCTACCAAAGAAGGGCAAAAAAAAAAAAATGTTCTACCTGTTTATATTTTTTATGAACAGAGTAAATGAGCAGAAGAAAACAATACCTGAAGCAGAAGGGTTTTGGTTTCCTCATAGTTGGACCTGAGTTTAGCGCCAAACTCCCACAGGTCTTCAGACACAAGGAGCTTGTCGTACAAAGCAGCAATTCCAGGATTTCCCTTGGCGAAAACCATCTCAACCAAGTCGATTGTAACTCTGAAGAAAGGCCAGCCGTTGTACATATCCTGCAGCATCTTAAGGTTCCTGATGTCCTTGTTTATAGCGTACTTGAAGGCCGCCCCAAAGCCCAGCCAAACAGGGAGATGGAATCTCGTCTGAGTCCAAGCAAAGATCCATGGAATGGCCCTCAGGGATTCAATACCCCCACTCGGCTTCCGTTTAGAAGGACGACTACCAATGTTCATTCGCCCGTACTCCAGTTCTGGCGTGGCCTACAGTGTTATTAAACAAAACAAAAAAAGTCATTCAGACTGACATTCAGACCAATGAATTCAGACTGAAAGAGTTCAGTTTTTTTGGGGGTATGATACCCGTTGGTACCGTCAAGGATTAGTGCTCCCTTCAAAACAAGATAACAAAAGCCCCTAGGAAAAAAAAAAAAAACAAGATATTCGAGGGGGAAATGAGCCTTGTTTCACCACAGCAAATTATTTTCTTCTTTTCTTTCAAATAATTTCCACGATAGACCATTTTTTTCTCGCCTGTAGTTTTGAAATCTTATTTCCTTAATTTGCTGTTCACAGAACCAAATCCGATCATAGGGTGTTTTTTTAGTTGCTTTGGTAATTACTTAAAACAACTATTAATAATCACACGAAGATAATTGAAAAGACATCATCATGCAAGACAATCAAGAAGAGTCGTCACTTACGAGACGGAAATACTCGACAAACCGAGGCTCCTTGAAGACAATGGAACGGAACTCCTCTGTGGCCACAACCGCAATCTCATCGAGCAGGGCCCGCCACTCGGGCTTAGGCGCCACCGGTGGATGCATCCCATGCTCCAAAGTGGCGGCCGTGAACCTCTGCAGTGTGCGGAAGCACAGATGCTCCTCCCCAAACGACTGCTCGATAACCTCCCCTTGCACAGTCACCCGAAGCGACCCATGGATTGTGTCTGGTGGCTGAGACAGTATGGCCAGGTGGGTGGGGCCCCCGCCCCGCCCCACCGTGCCACCTCGCCCGTGGAACATGGTCAGCTTCACCCCATACTCCTTAGCCACCTTCACGAGCTCCTCCTGGGCCTTGTATAGCTGCCACGCAGCTGACAGCCGACCCGCGTCCTTGCCGGAATCCGAGTATCCGATCATCACTTCCTGTTTACCGTTGATCCTCTGCTTGTACCAGTCGATCGAGAAGAGGCGTGCCACGGCAGCGGGGGCAGCCTCCAGGTCAGCGAGCTTTTCGAAGAGCGGGACCACTCGCAAGGGCTGTCTGACGTGGCACTCGCGCTGGAGGAGCTCGACGGCGAGGACGTCGGAAGGGGCGGTGGCCATGGAGATGATGTAGGCGCCGAAGCAGTCGGAAGGAAGCTCGGAGATGACGTGGAAGGTGTCGAGGACGTCAGCTATCTCCTCGGTTTTTGGAAGGTCGGGGCCGAAGAGGGGGCGCTTCCCACCGAGCTCCGAGAGGAGCCATTCCTGGCGGCGCTGCTCAGGCCAGTCGCGGTAGGAGCCGATTTCGAGGTGGGTGGTGATGGCGTCCAGGACATCCGTGTGGCGGTCCGACTCCTGGCGGATGTCGAGGCGGACGAGGGAGAGGCCGAAGGTGGACACCTGGCGCAGGAAGTCGAGGAGTGAGCCGTCAGCAATCGGGCGGTCACCGCACGCGCACAGGGATCGGTAGCACAGCTCGAGTGGCTCCAGGAACTGTGGAGACATTATAGACGTTTTTTAGCTAGGTAATCAAACGACTGCTCGAAAAAATTTTATTTTTTATTTTTTCTAAAATAGCATGTAAGGTTTGTGTGAAATACAAGGTTTGAATGATATATTATATAGAGGAGAAATAGACCTGCTCAACATTGGTGTAAGTCGCCTCTTCTGGAATGTCAGAAGTGCCATGAGCTAATAGGTGACGGGAACGCTCACGAGTCTGGTAGAGACGGTCCCTAACGTCACCAAGAATGACACGATAGGGTTCACTTGATGGAATCGTCTTCCAAAACTCTGCATGAAATGCAAAGGAATTTAAGTGTTTTTTGTCGAGGAAAATGACCAAGAAGTAAGTTTGCGAAAGGTTACCTATGAAATGCTTTGCATCTCTCCTCGACGACCGGTGGAGTTCATCAGCACGAACGCGAAGCTCTTCGTTGCAGCGCCACATGGACAGCTAGAAATGCAAAAGTTAGAAATTAAAAGAACAATCCCCCACTGTATACTGAGGCTTGCTGAAAAGGATCAAAAAATCTAATGTTCAGTGGTTGGGCTAATAACAAAATACCTCAAACATGAGATCCTCAATTTGGGAATAGTACAAGTTAGCAGCCATCATTCTGGCCAATAAGCACACATCTCTAGTGACCTCAGGAGTTACCCTTGGATTGCCTACGTTTATTGTACAAAAGATTGTGTCAGTCAATATACTGAAATCATAAGAGATAATTATAATTTATATGCCTGCTGAACCATAAAATTTATATCCTTATAGACATTTAGAGGTATAAAGAAAATATACCATCACGGTCTCCACCCATCCAAGAAGAAAATTGAATTATGGGGGCATTGTATGGAATTCGTTCGTTGATCCCTATATTCTTGAGAGCAGTGTCCACACGGCGCAGAAACTTTGGGACACCTTTCCAGATAGTCTCATGGAAATAACTCATCCCTGCCCTCATTTCATCTTGGGGTGTAGGTGGGGTCCTTCGGATTTCATCAGTTCGGAAAGCAGCTTGAATCTGCAAACACATGATAGAGTAACAAAAAAGCACTTAAGAACAAGTTCATGCAGTTCAGAGTTTTCTGCTTTGAATCAAGGATGCCCATAAAGATCTAAATAGTACTAATCAGTTTCTGTTATCTACAACTAACTGCACCAAGTTTGACCAGTAAAACAGGAGCTTTCAAAAGGGTTTTGAAGTTTGTTTGGAGCATGGTTATTGTTCTTCACATTAAAAGTTTACAATACGAGTGATAAATTCACCCATTCAACAAAAACCACAGAAAAATCCTCAATTGCATCACAATAACTTGCGACAGGAATTGAATACATTAACTAAATTAGATGAAGCCGTACTGCACTATTTTTACCTCGAATCATATCTTTCTTTCACTTTATGTGTCGCATATTTTATACTAGTATCCCATATGGATAGAGGCAATGTGGGCAGATTTTGATTTAGGGAACTGATAAATCTAAGAACATACGTCCTTAGATTTTGATTTAGGGAACTGATAAATCTAAGAACGTATCTGGACTTCACATTGAAACCAATTCTAACTTTTCTTTCTCTCTTTCTTTCTTTCTTTTTTTTTTTTT